ACCTCAAAAAACGCAGTTTTAACTCAATATTTAGGTTTCTTGCGGTAAAAAAAAACTACTTTATTCGTAACTTTTATATCAATATAAAAAAAAGATTTTTAAGTAACTTAGTTTAAATCACTAAAGTTGTAAAATAATCAAATTTTAAACTTAAAATATATCGTTCTACTTTTAAATGTTTATAAAACTTAAAATATATCGTTCTACTTTTAAATGTTTATAAAACTTAAAATATATCGTTCTACTTTTAAATGTTTATAAAACTTAAAATATATCGTTCTACTTTTAAATGTTTATAAAATTTAAAATATATCGTTCTACTTTTAAATGTTTATAAAACTTAAAATATATTGTTCTACTTTTAAATGTTTATAAAACTTAAAATATATCGTTCTACTTTTAAATGTTTATAAAACTTAAAATATATCGTTCTACTTTTAAATGTTTATAAAACTTAAAATATATCGTTCTACTTTTAAATGTTTATAAAACTTAAAATATATCATTCTACTTTTAAATGTTTATAAAACTTAAAATATCATTCTACTTTTAAATGTTTATAAAACTTAAAATACATTGTTCTACTTTTAAATGTTTATAAAAGATTTTATATATGTTATATAAAAAATAACTTGAAAAAAATAATTTTTATAAAATAGTTAAATGCAATTTTGGTTTGTTAATAATGCAACAACAACAAAAAAGTGTTGGATCCTAATAATATGATATTATGAAAATGTTTTGAAAAAAAAACTGTATCTGAAAGAAAAGCTGCTGAAAAAGTCAACTCTTAAGAGGCAAATTATATATAAACTAATTACCTTGCCAATCACCAGATTAAAATTCAGCATCAATCATAAATTTTTATTAGCTAGATTGATGGAAAAATGAAGATTTTATTTTACGTCAAGTTACAAACAGATTCAGAATCCTATGCTGCTCAATATCAATCCAGTTTTATTAGAAAAAAAGTAATTGTAAAAAAGTAAAAAAGTTAACATAATTTAACAACATCATTTCAGGGAAATGGAAGTATTTTCCTGAAAGTAAAGAGTATACTCCTTTATTTTATTAAAAGGCTTGTTTAAAAAAATGAATAAAGATCTTCTTTCATTTCAACTCATATAACTGATAGGAGGCTTTCTGAAATTATCAACTTCAGTGAAAGTTAAAAAACATTTCTGATAGTGAAAGTGAAACTTTTCTGAAAAATGTGACACTATAAAAATCTTAAAATTCAAAAAAAAATTTCAATGCATTTGATAGTAAAACTGTGTCAATGTTGCAAGAAGTGATTTTTGCAGTTGATTAAAAAGTTTGTTTAAATATTTGTGGATGAAATTAAATAATGACTTGTGTGCAATATGTAAAGAAACTGATCGAGACAATGAACTTTGGTACTGTTGTAGACAATGTGCTTGCTTGGTACATAACCGTTGTAGACAGTGTGCTAGCTTGGCACATAATTTTTATAGACAGTGTGCTAGCTTGGCATATAATGCATGCACAAGTGCAGATAATGCAAACCAATATGTTAGTGATTATTGTAGTTTAACTTCCTGATTTATTTTGATTGAAACTTTTGACTAAAATTGTAATATTAGTTTCATCATCATCATTTTATTTTTGTAGTCTGAAAAAAACGTTTTAACATAAAAGTTTGCTTATTTTTAAGTTCTTATTTTTCACCATTAGAATGATCAAAAAACTCTTTCTAACATAATTATCAAAAATGTCTTGACCTTAAAAAACTATAAAAACTTAAAACCAAGATTAAAATGTGTCTAAGGTAAGTTTGGCCAAGTTCAACATCATGGTTTTTATGATTTCTTTTTGATAAAAGAGCATCAATATTACACTGATTGTGCAATTCTGATTCAATTCTTCAACTGATGTGCAAGAACATCAATATTAGACTGTTGTGCAATTCAACCAATTCAACACTGCACTGTTTGGTCCATTTAATACTGCACTGATTAATCAACTGTGCTGAAAAGGCCACTGAACAATGTAGTATGGTTCATAATTATCACATTTTTAAACTTCTACTTCCTCAATGCTTTTGTATTCTGCTATTGGATTTACAGCTTTCAAAGATTATTACTTAAAATGTCTTGTCTTTAGAAGTAGTATAACTGTTATTAATCTTGTATAAAAACAAGATTAATAATTTAAGTTAGTCACTTAAATTATTAATCTTGTTTTTAGAAATAATAAAGTTACCATAGTTACTTATAATTAGTTATTTCAAAATATTTCAATATTTAATTGATTTATTTATTTTATAAGCATTGTGTTTTTAATAGTTACATTTTTGTAAATTTGAAAATAATTTAAACTTTGAAATTTATTTGTATACAATTATTTAACATCTTGGTGGGCTATGTAGTAGCTATGTAGCATCTACATAGTAGCTATGTAGCAGGCTAAGTATTAGTTAAATTTTAGAATAAATTTAAAATGTAGTTCAACTAATTTAAAATGTTGAGTTTTTCAATTGCCTGGGCTATACTACTAACATAATATTATTAAATATTATTTATAAAAAATTATTAATAAAAACATTGTTTTTACATTATCATATTAGACTTAAGTGGGGTACAAATTTTTAGTACTGTTTGTTATACTACTACCCTAAAGCTGACTGGGATTAAGCCTACTACTACCCTAAAGCTGACTGGGATAAAGCCTACTACTACCCTAAAGCTGTCTGGGATTCCTTTCGTGATTTTCTTCATGATGGTCCTTGGGCTGATGTTTTTTCTCTCTCAGCTGACAAATGCGCCTCCTACATAACCTCCTGGATTCAGGCTGGAATAGAAGCTTTTATTCCTTCTCGTCGGTTTCAAGTCAAGCCTCATTCTACTCCATAATTTTCTCCTTCTTGTGCGGCTGCTATATTAAATTGTAATCATTTTTTTCATCTTTTTCAAAAGAACAACTCTCTTGAGAACAAACGGCTATTTATTATTGCAAGAAATCGATGTAAAAAGGTGCTTTCTGATGCTAAACTCCATTATTCTCAGTTCACTAAATCTCGCATTTTATCGCAGAAGTTAGGCTCTAAAGACTTTTGGAAAATCTTCAACAGCATTGTTAACAAGGGTAGATCTAACATTCCATCTCTCATTCATGGGACTGATCTTATTACCTCTCCCAAGGATAAGGCAGAACTATTTGCAAAGAACTTTTCTTCTAATTCCACTCTTGAATCTTATGGACATTCTCTTCCTTCCATTCCAGTCAAACAGGTTGACCCATTGTTAGACATTCAAATCACTCCGGCTTCTGTTGCTAAAGTCATATCTCAATTAAACTCGTCTACAGCTTGTGGTCCAGACAACATTCCTGTCACAGTCTTGCAGAATTGTTCTCCAGAATTTTCTTCAATTCTCTCTAAACTATTTAACAAGTGTTTGACTGAGTCTTGTTTTCCTGCTTGTTGGAAAATGGCATCTGTGGTTCCAATATTCAAAAACTCTGGAGAAAATTCTGACCCCTCCAATTATTGTCCGATCAGTCTTCTTTCTGTTATTAGCAAGGTCTTTGAGTCTTTGATCAACAAATTCCTCATATCTCATCTTGAGTCAAATAAACTGCTGTCAGACAATCAATACGGTTTTCGATCCTCTCGCTCTATGGCCGACTTGCTAACTGCTGTAACTGAAAGATTTTATCGTGCATTAGATGGAGGCGGTGAGGCTAGGGCTATTGCTTTCGACATATCTAAAGCTTTTGACAAAGTTTGGCATGCTGGTCTTCTCCATAAGCTTGCTTCATATGGTGTTTCTGGGAAAGTTTTTGAGATTCTCAAATCATTTCGTTTATTAAAGTCATCCTTGAAGGCCAACACTCTTCTTTATTTCCAGTAACTTCTGGGGTTCCCCAAGGTTCCATCCTGGGCCCTGTTTTGTTTCTTATCTACATAAACAATCTTCCTTACAACCTTTCATCTAAAGTAGCTCTTTTTGCTGATGACTCAACTTGTTACTCCTGTCTTGACAAAAAGTCTTCTCTTTTCGATCGCCTAGAACAAGCAGCTGATCTTGAATCTGATCTCACTTCAGTAATAGATGGGGGTTCACAGTGGCTTGTGAATTTCAACTCTAAAAAAACCCAATTGCTTACTGCAAACAACTACCGTAATATGGTCAACATTCCTATATTAATGAATGGCAATCCTCTTACTGAGTCCTCCTCTTTACGTCTTCTTGGATTATCGCTCACTACTGACCTTTCATGGAGGCTATATATACAATCGATTGCTAAATTAGCTTCTGCTAAGGTTGCTTCTCTTTATCATGCCATTTCCTTACTTCTAATTCCATTCTCTACCTCTACAAATCTCTTATTCGTCCCTGTATGGAATACTGTTGTCATATTTGGCTGGTTCTTCTAACGATTCACTTTCTCTTCTTGACAAGGTCCAAAAACGCATTGTAAATGTTGTTGGACCTGGACTATCTGCTAAGCTTGAGCCTCTTTCCCATCGTCGTAAAGTTGCATCTCTTTCTCTTTTCTACAAATACTATCATGATAACTGCTCAAAGGAGTTATCATCTCTAGTTCCATCAACTAAAACTCATTCTCTATTTACTCGTCATTCAGCTAAGTCTCATTCCTTTACTGTATCTGTCCCTGCATGCTCTAAAAACTTTTATTCATCTAGTTTTTTTCCCCGCACTTCAATCCTTTGTAACTCTCTCCCATCTTCATGTTTTCCTGACTCATACAACCTTCAACTTTTCAAGTCTTCTGTCAACCGTTTCCTTGCTCTATAACTCTGTTCTTTTTTTTTCCTAGTAACTCCCAACTTAATAGTGGTTGCTTGCAGCCTTGTTGGGAGTGAATGCAAATAAAAAAAAATAATAATAATAATAATAATAATAACAAATTACAATAAATTCAATTTACAATAAATTATTTTATAATCTTTTATATCATTGAATTATCAACTAATAGTTAAATTTAAAGTGTTATTATCTGTTTCATTGTTATAGGCTGTTCGAGTGATTGCTAATTTATCAATGAGCAAGGAGTGTGCCGAAGCCTTTTGTAATGAAAAAAAATACATTGATACTTTTATTATTATATTGGGTACTCTTTTTTTCTTTTATTGTATTTTATGTTTTTACTTACTTAAAAATTACTTATAATGTTTTGGATTAATATTTTAGTATTCTATTTTAGGCAACCAGAATGTTTCATTTGAACTTCGTAATAATGTTATTGCAACAATTAATAATTTAGCATACTTTGCAACAGATGAATGCTATTTCTCTACAACAAGAGTTTCTATTACTGAAGGTAAGTGATAAATACTTGCATGCATTATAATCATTGATTACTTGAATTATAGCGTTGCAATCAATGGATCATAAATAAAATGCTGTGTTAATGTTGCAGTTAATCATGTAGGTAATCATAATCAATGGATCATAAATAAAATATTGTAGTTAAAGTATACTTGGACTTAAATCAGTATTTCCATGATTTATAAATAATTATTTTTTAATTATTTGAGTTTTCTTTATGCAGTTTTAACTCAATATTTAGGTTTCTTATAGCAAAAAAAAAAAAAAAAATTTCAATTTGAGTTTTCTTTAGAAATATAAAACTCTTTTTTTTTTTTATTCTTTTGAAATTCAAGAAACTTTTTTCTGATATTTTTTTTTAAATATGTAATAAACACTTTCATATCTTTCATATTCTATTCATACAAAAAAAAATCTGTTTTTTTTGGGGGATTTTTTTTTTGATTGATTGTACTGTTAGCTAAAGTGAAGAAAGACACATTGTCAATGATGCTTGGGAAACTAACTTCTTCAGGTTTCTCCACAATGGCAAGATTATAACATGATTTCACGCCAGAATCTTCATTTATTTTTTATGTAAAAAATAATGATTTTTTAGATCAAAAACATTATTGATAACTTCTAAGAAGTTTTGACACTATCTAAAGATATTCTTACCATTATATTAAGGTTGTCAATACCTCTTTCCTCAATTATAAATTTGATAAATTCTGATGTACTCTTGAACTAAACTATATCTCTAAATCTAACCACTGTAAAAAAGTTTCACTGTTAAACATTCATATAAAGAATCTAGAGTTCATGCAATTCAGTCATTTTAAGAAAGTTGTTTTAAGGTAGTAGCTGGTTTCTTAAACTCTGTGGTAGCTCCATTCTATCAACAGCTGCAAAATATCAGAGTGTTAACAGTGTCATGTTGTGCATGCATGGTGTTCCTGTTAATGCTTTTGGTGCGCATTGTCGAGTTCACTAAAATACCTATATGTTACGACTTAGAGTTAATTAACAGGACTAAGACAACTGCATAGCTCATTGCTTAGGAGCTATTCAGTTGTCACAGAAACTGTGCTATATCTATGACATAAAAAACCATCCCCACCACTTAACTGTTTTAATATACCTTATACAAACATTTGTGGTCTGCAAAGCAACCTTCCATCAGTTGAATCTTACCTCTTTTAAAATTCACCAGACTTGCTTGCTCTTAGTGAAAATAATTTAAATTTTGCTGTTTCCTTCTTCAGATCTCAATGTTGATGGGTATTATTCTTTGATTTGCAAAGACTCCAATAGTCACATGCTTGGCTTGGGTATATACATATGCATCAGTTCACCTATTTGTTATGAAATCATGTTCAAATCCTTGGATCATACTTTTATGTGCTTCCGCTTAGCACTTCTTCAATCTATCACCTTTTTCTTTGTTCTTCATTGTTCTTCTTCTTCCCAAGACTGCACTCTTTAGATGTAATTTCTGATCAAATCAACCATGACCTCTCTCTTTACCTCTCTGGTAATATTGTTGTTATTGGAAACTCATCACACTGAATCAAGAATATTTATTCTTAATAAATGTTCTTAAATAAATTAAATAAATAATTTATTCAAGAATTTTATTGCAAAGAATATAAAAAGGTGCTCCCTGATGCCATGCTCCATTATTCTCAGTTTACTAAATCTCGTATCTTATCTCAAAAGTTAGGCTCTAGAGACTTTTTGAAAATCTTCAACAGCGTTATTAACAAAGGAAGGTCTAACATTCCATCTCTCATTCATGGGACTGATCTTTTTACCTCTCCCAAGGATAAGGCAGAATTGTTTGCAAAGAACTTCTTTTCTTATTTGACTCTTGAATCTTATGGCCGCTCTCTTCCTTCCATTCCAATTAAACAGGTTAACCAATTGTTAGACATTCAAATCACTCCAGCTTCCTTTGCTAAAATCATATCTCTTCTGCATAAGATCCTTCTCTCTCCTGCATAAGATCTTTTTATTTCCTGGATGAGATGCTTTTCTCTCCTGCATATGATGCTTTTTTCTCCTGCATAAGATGCTCTTCTCTCCTGCATTAGATGCTTTTTTCTCCTGCATAAGATGCTCTTCTCTCCTGCATAAGATGCTTTTCTCTCCTGCATAAGATACTCTTCTCTCCTGCATAAGATGCTTTTCTCTCTTGCATGAAAATTAGTTTGAGAAAGAGTTAAGTAGTTATTGTTATAAGAAAAAATTTGTTGGTAAGATAAATATATCGTTTATTATATATAAACTTTCTTTATATAATACACTGCATTGGTAGTGAAATAAACTATTTGTGAACAGTGAAACAGTGAAAAAAACATTTTGTGAAATGATATATAATGCTTATACTGAATGGGTGAAGATGGTATATAATTTTTAGTAGTGAAGGCGCCATTATTAGAATATATAATTAATCTAAAAAAGAGCTTATCACTTAAGAGAGGTATTGTTGATAGAGACTATTGTCGAAATTAGACTAACTAAACTGTTTTATAATGATTTTTAATAGGCTTCACTCAATTGTTATTTTTTCCCTTTAAATTAAACAAAAATATTTTTTTATCCAAATTCAAAATTTTTCTACTAAAACTTCTGGCTATCACTTTCCTAGAAATTACTGGCTATCACTTTCCTAGAAATCACTGGCTTTTACTTTATATAATTTGTAATGACTTTAGTTCACTGAGATTGCTATAATAATATTTTTTTTAGCTATTATAAAGCTGTTGTTTTCCGTGGAAGTTAAGAGTGAAGTTTTACGAGCTCTTGGCAACCTTACCCAAAATGAAGATGTTAGAGAAACACTTATTAAAAATAACTGTAAGTTTTAATGATTAACGTCATTATTAGCGTTCTGTTGTTTAACATAGTCATTATTAGTGTTCTGTAGTTTAGCATAGTCATTGTTAGTGTTTTACAGTTTAACGTAATCATTATTAGTGTTCTCTAGTTTAATGTAGGGGTTGAGCAGTGGTGCACTCATGATGTGAGAAGTGCTGCACTCAATTTATTCTTTTATGATGTGATATTTTATAATAAATTAAATTTATTTTGTGTAATATTTATTATGATTTACAGGGTGCTTACAAGTTACAGGTTTGAGATGGGTTGGTAAGTAGGTGGGGTGGATGGTAATTAGGTGGGGTGCATAACTTGAATGAGTTTAAGATGTAAAAAATGTAAAAAATTTTAATAGACATTTATTATTTTTAAACTTTTTGATTGTTTTTAGTTGGAGAAAATGTTAGTGAGCTTTTAGATTCAAGTAATCAAGAATTATTGTTTTCTGTTTGTGGTCTTCTTGTTAACATGGTGGTTGATAAACGATTTATTTTAAAACAACAAAATGTTATACCAAAGTATTATTTTAACTTTTAAAATAATTTTTCTATCCGTATTACATTTTTTTTTTTTTTTTTTTAATTTTATACAGAAAAAAATCTTAATTAAAAATAAAAAATTTTTAAATATTGTTTGTCTTAAAATCTCAAGGTTGCTGTCTAACTCTTTTTAGGCTGATCGATTTGTTGAGAAATCTAAGTGAGAATGATTGGTGTCTTGCTGCTCTTATATGTCAAATATTTTGCAACTATACAGACGAACTAACTAACATTGAATTTTTCTTTAATCAAGAAGAGAGCGACGACATAGTGACAATTCTTAATGAATTTATAGGTTTAATATATTAATGATATATACCAAATAAATAATTTTGTTTAATATACTTGAAAATTTAAAGCTATAAATTCAGAATTGAACTGATTACTGGTAATATATATATATATATATATATATATATATATATATATATATATATATATATATATATATATATATATATATATATATATATATATACATATATATATATATATATATATATATATATATATATATATATATATATATATATATATATATATATATATATATATATATATATATATATATATATATATATATATATATATATGTATATATATATATATATACTATATATATATATATATATATATATATATATATATATATATATATATATATATATATATATATATATATATATATATAATATATAGTATATAATATAAATTTAAAGCTATAAATTCAGAATTGAACTGATTGCTGGTAATATATGTATATATATATGTGTGTATATATATATTATATATATATATATATATATATATATATATATATATATATATATATATATATATATATATATTCTTTTAATTATTAGATCCTGTGTTAGCATTAGATTATGAGAAATCCGAAATAGACGAAGACACTATAAATTGGCTTAAACAATCGTGGTATGAAGATTTTTTTCCAGTAGCTTGCAAACTTTTACAGCGATTCAATAACGTTCCTTTTAATGACAAAATAAATTGAAAAGTACAAGTAAGGTTAGTTTACTTTTTCTTAGTTAATTGTGCAAAGTTCATTTATAGAAACATATACACATCAAAAAGTTTTTGAAAATGAAGCTATTAAAAATTGTAGATAATCTCTTATAAATAATCATTCACTTTATATATCAAGCAACAAGTGATTTTAAATCCCTCGTAGTTAATTTATATTGCGATTTTAATTATGTTAATTTATGTTGTTTTTTGTTTTGTTTCTTTTTTTTCTTTCGATAGTGTCTATTGGCACGGCCGCCGTGAACAACTTCTAAAAAAGACTATTGGCACGGCTGCCATATAAACAGTTAAGAAAAGGTGTTTGCATGATCAAATTGGCAAAATTTGAAATAGGACTGCACCGTAACTTTAGAATTAATTAATAGGTACAACAAAATAAATTAAAAGCTGAAAAGGAAGATCTGAAAAAAATGACAGCTTTGGTAGAAGACATAGAATTCTAAAATAATTCTAAAAAAAGCGCGAAAGGAACAAGTAAAATTAAAAACTAATTTTTAAAACCCAGTGCTTTTATATGTTTTAAAAACACAAGTTTTGCAATAAGTTTTTTCTGATAATCCTATTTTATTTTATTAACATTTGTTGTATGCGTGTGTAAAATAACAAAAAATATCCAGGAAAAGGCAAGACTCGAACCTCCGACCTTCAGTCTACGAAGAGGACGACTTTACCAAATAAGCTAAACGCGCGTTTAAGTATTCAAACGATTAGTATACTCATTTATAAATTTTAAATTTTTCTTTCCATATAAAAAATTTAATTAATATTAACTAAATTAGTTAACTTATTGCATAATTAATTATTGAATATTGTATTTTCATCAAGTAAGAGTGTGTATGCAAAATTTGAAGAAAATCTATCATCAGAAAGTGACTCAAAAATTGGTTGCAAAATTTGGTTTTGCGGCCGTGCGAATAGCCTGTTTAGAATGGGAACACGGCGGCCGTGCGAATAGCCTTTTTAGAATTGGAACACGGCGGCCGTGCGAATAGCATCGGCCCGGGAATTTATTTTTAGATGTTAAACAAATTTTATTTTGGTTTATAGTCTGATGTGATATTGATCTATACATTAATTAAAACAAATGATCATTCTCATGTATCAACAATTATTTCGTCAGTGTTTCCATTTTAATTTTAGTGCTTGCGTTCAAAATTTACATACAAAGCATAAAATCCATCCCCGCATTAAAAACGTAAGGATGCGTTGTAAATTTTCAACTAACTTTTAACGTCAATGATTTTAGTCAAAGTATTTTAGTTATCAAAACCCGAAAAACTATAAATGTTACCGTAAACACTAATGTCTCTCGTTTTATTATATAAATTCTTTTTCAACCTTTTAACAAGCACTAGAAATCTTATGAGATTATTGACACCAATTATTTTATTTTCTAAGCTAAAAATATTAGTAATTTTGTTTTTCTTTAGAAACTTATTATGGTAAGACTTGTCTTCGACTGCAAATCCATTGATTGATATCTAATTTTGATTTATTCTGTCGGAATGTCCATTAGTCCTTTTTCTTTTTTTTGCTTTGATGTTTCTGAAAGATATTATTTGTGTAATATATTATAGATAATAATACTGTAAATTGAAAGATATTGTAATAATATAAATATAATTATGAATTAATATATGACAGCTGTTATAATCTTCTTTTCAAATATTTTTACCCTGTTACATGAGACTTTTAAAACTATGTTAATAAATTTTACTTATAGTATTGATATTTATTTGCTAATGTATTTTTTTATTTCGGCTGTTGTATTAAAATGTTACTGTTATTTGTTTTCTTTTAGGAGGCTTTTACGATTTAAATATTATTCGAACTCTTTTATTTGAAATTAGCATGATTTTATGAGCGTATTATGTCTAAACAAAAGCTTTTGATGTTACAATTTTTTTTTTGCTTCAGGTTTTTTTAATATTTGAAGAAACCTTTCTCTTTTTTATATAATTTTCAAAACTTTTTTACTACACATAATAGTGAATCTAAAGAACGCCATTTTCGAGTCTTTAGATCACTTTCGCTTATCGGTGTTAACATGAATTTAGTTAAAATCTTTTGAAAAAGTGCATTAATTTACTATAGATCCTAGTTCAAATCGGTTCTGACGTATTTCAACTATATATAGTTATGAAAATACAATATTTCTATCGATTATAACAAAAAATTCTAGAAATCCGACTAAGAACTTATAATTAAGAAAAAGCGCCAATAAACGATTAGAACAGATCAAATTATAAAACTGATGTTCATTTTGCCTAAAAAACGTATTCATTTAAAATCTTATTCAAATTTGGACAAGCGATTGGGATTTTAAAAAGGTTTTTTTTTAAAAAAAAAAAGAATCTTCGGCTGGGTTTTTTGCTATAAACATTTATGTTTTATAAAACCACAAAATTTATCATTTTAATTTTTTTCGTCTTTTCATAATTCACAGACCTGATTATTTAACGGAAATATGTCGTGGTCAACAAAATATCATCAGACGCTATAATATTTTAAAATTCCCATAATTACACTGAGAGGGCCGTCATATTTTATAAATACAATAATTACTATCAGGGCCGTCATATTTTATAGACAGTAGACATTGCGCCCAGGTTTTATTAACCTTTTACAGGGTTTATAAAACTTGTAATAATGAAACATAAAAAATGAAGATAAAATTGTAATATTTTTCAAAAACTTTTTATTCAAGTTTATCTTGTACATTAGAGTACTAACTTTGGCATCTTTTTTAAAATGTTTAAACTGAACAAGTATATACAAGAGGTATTGTGGTTTATCTTCCTTCGTACAGTTGCCATATAGAGACCACATACCAAGGTCCACAAAGGCAAGTTCAGCTCACTTAGGAGTATCATAATCCGCCTAAAAGGACCAAGACTAAGAGTGTCAAAAGTAATCGTAAAAATAATTTTATTAATCTCCACGGTATACCGTTAAAAAACAGATGAGATTAACCTTGATGTTGAAAATAGTCAGTAATTAGTGTTATTACGTAATTGTACAGGGTTGCCACTCAACCTGGAATACTTGGAAAAAGCATGAATCCCAGAGAAAACCTGGAAAACTCAGGGATTTTTTATTATTTTCATTAAACTCAGGGAAAATATTTATTTTTTTTGAAATTTTGTACAATAATTTTTTTTTCAAAAATATTTTGCTAATACATAAAAAAATTAGTTTGCAAGATATTGGTATTTTTGTAAAAGTTTTAGTTTGCCAAATATAAAGGTTGTGTTTAATTAAGAAAAATAATAATCTTGTTGATGAACAGGAAAAAATATAGAAAAATCAGGAAAAACTCAGGGAACTTAAAGAGTTCCACTTAGGGAAAAATGTTCTTTACTCAGGGAATACTCAGAGAAAACTCATGGAAAAACTTTGAAAATTATAGTGGCAACCATGCTGTAAGTATTACCAAAGCAGAATAGTATTTAATCATAAACAAAAATTATAGATGTTTAATCATTAGTTTAGACATTAACTAATAAATAAAAATTACAGATGTTCAATCATTAGTTCAGGCATTAACTAATAAAAACACAACTTAAAAAATTTAAAACCGGCGTATATTTAACAATTACATGCAATAAACGCATTTTATTGCATAATATTGCAAAATAATATTAATTAAATCCATAATCAATATTAATTTTTAATCATTAGGTACCAGACTCCTAATTAAGCAAAGTAAAAAAAATACTTTTTAGTACAAAACAGAACTGATTGAAAAAAATAAGTGAAAAGTGTTTCTCTTCTTTTTAAAATGGTCAAAAGTGACAAAAGGTCGAACTTAATAATAAAACTTGAAAGTAAATTATCATCACTGCCTTGTTTCAGAGATAAATGGGAAACAACTCTTGTTTTATACAAACACCGTCATGCATGTATTACTTGTTTTGAAAAAATTGCACAATTAAAAAAAAATACAATTTGTAGAGACATTACACTAAAATACACATAAAGTTCAACATAAAATACACAGTTGAATCTGTGCTCAGGTTTTCAAACAGAAGAACTACATCTCAAATCAACAAAAATTATTTATTAAGAAAAGTGATGAAATGCAAAGCATAATGAAAGCGTCTTTTCAAATTTCAAAAAAAGTGTTATTCTATTAATATTTTTGCTGAAAACGTAGGAGACAATTAAACTAACTTGTTGTCCCAAAACAATGTCCTTTCTCGGAACACAGTGAAAAGAAGAGTAGAGGAAATGGCTGGTGATATCTCCAAACAAATCACAGTAGCTATAGCAACTATGATTTATTTAGAGATTTCTTAGAAGGAATAATGGTTGTGTTTCTCTTTTGAGAAATATTTAAAAATAAAAGTTTTAAATACTATTGTATCATTAATCAGAAAGTGCTCTATTCTAAATACATGGAATTTAGCTATGTAATTGACACTGTTGTACCATTAATAAAACTCTAGCAAGAGCACTTCATAGACAAAAGTTTCATGCATTTTTTTAGCAATGAAACTAATGAATATGGAGAGCTTTTGCTGAATTGTTCATTTAATTAGTTTTTAAAAGTCAAAATAGATTTTTTTTTTCAAAATAAACCTAATTTCTTCATTTTTACGAGGAAAATGAGGAGTGTGAACTAATGAAAAGTTTATCTTAGTTAAGTGATTTGACTTTTTTAGTCGACAACAAACTTAACAAATTGAACGCAGGTCTACAAACAACCTATTTCCAACACTAGGTCTACAAACAGGTCTACAAACAACACTATTCCCAAAGCAGGTCTACAAACAACACTATTCCCAACAATCAGATCAAAACTTATAAGTACAAATTAAAACTACTAGCTGTTTAACTTAGAAACGTCTTTTTCCCATCAAAAATTTCAACTTGAAAATTCAAGTTTTTTGATGGACTGCAAACTTGGTTCAACTTACATTTGTGAAAAAACATTTTTATCGATAAACTTTATTAAGAACAAGTACATATACACATTCATTGACAATTATCTGGAAAAACCTGATTCTGCTATCAACCTCAAAAATGATAAACTCATTAATAATATTAGATTATAATATCATTAACAATATGTTCAAAACCTCATTAAAATTGATTTACTAGTCTGATTCTGTAAAAAATCTATTTATATTTAAATGAACATTTATTCAGTGTGTAAAACATAAAACATTCACAGTTGTATTGTTTTATGATTTTTATGTTTGAAATTACAGGTACTTTTTTCGCTCTTACGAATTTTTTTTTCCTTATATTTATCCTCTTGATAAAAAAGTTAGCCACCCCTGTTCTATGCCACATTAAGTAAAAGATAATAAGTTGGGAAAAGATCTGCAAAACCTGGTTGTATGCAGTGTAACGCAATTTATAAAAAAAAACACAAGTGTAGTTGATGTATATTTCAACAATATTACGCAATTTGAAAAAAAAAATGCTTCCCATTAAAACGCAAACTTTTGAGGACTTCAAAAACTTATTTTAAAATTTTCATAAGTTCTAATGCAAAAATAATTTCAAATTTGGAAAAAGTGAAGAAATTAAAAAAACTAACTGTCCGGACCCGTAAACTACATGTCTTTATAAGTTTAATTCACACCAGCCATTTCTATACTAATTTATTACTTCAATAACTTATAGAAAGCGGTACAAAATTAAATTACATACATGTATATAAAGAAAAACAATACATATTGTCTACCTTTTAAAGATATGAAAACATTTTATATTAAAATTAGCAAATTTTAATATAATTTTAAATTATATTAAAATTTGCAAATTTTAACAAATTTTAAACGCTTTGGTAGCCGTTGCTACGGCTACCAAAGCGTATTTATTAGCGGTTCGGATATTAGGGGTTGTCCATAAAATACGTACGCTTTTTTTTCTCCAACCCCCCCCCCCCCCCCCGCGATTTTCCGTATTCTTTTTTGAGTACTCTCTACCTCCCTTAAAGTAACTACGCTTTTAACCAACATTTTATGATATTTTTTTAAATTTAGTGTCACCATACTTTTATAATTGACCTACTGCCCCCAGTATCTCAGAAACGCCATTTGCAAACCTCCTCTTCCTTTCCGAGCGTACGTACTTTATGGACGATCCCTTATACCAATTTAAATATTATTTAGAACACCCGCTTGAAATATGTTACAATCAATTAAATATAATCGTTATAAAATGTTTAAAAAACGTGAAAAATATGCAGAACAATGGACTTAGCATGAACAGTGTAATACGGGACATGGTAAGTCTATTCCACACCGGCCATTTATATACTTATTCTATATATAACCGTTTCTTTTTTTAATTAGTTTTTAGTAAGCGGTAGAAAATAAATTTAAATATAAATTTTTTGATTTGACGATTAATGTTCAACACTTCTTATTGTAAAACTGTAAACTTCAATAAAAAAAAACGTTGACAGGTTTATTAATTTTTTCTTTACAAAGACAATTAAAGTTTGTAAAAATTTTAATTTCTTAATTCTTATAAATTTTTTTAATTTTTAAGAATTTTCTTAATTGTTAAAAGTTTTCCTAATTTTTAAGTAACTTAATTTAACTTTCTAATAAGTTTGTTTTAAACTTTTTTTTTCCATTCCACAGTGATCAGGAATAACTTAAAATTTATTTTTTTAAAAAATACTCATTTAAAATAGCTGAAAATTCGCTCTATAATATAAAAAAAGGTAGACGAGGAAAGATGACCTTTAAGATGTT